AGACAGCAGGCTCCCCATGAGCTCATCCCGCTGCATGAAAATACCAGCTGTTCCCTCTATGGGAGCAGCCCCCCCCCCACCGCAGAGCCAGTCACCGGGGGTTAACCCACTGCTGCCCCCCTACACGCTCCCCCTTGGGTCATGCTGAGCCCCAGAGCTGTGGGCTCCCCCCGGCCGCCATGCCCCGCCTTAGCACCCCTCCTCCTTTAGCTGAGCCGGCTTGCTGCTGTGTGTTGAATGGGGCACGCGCGGGCTGGGCTGGCTCGGAGCTGTAGTGCTGATGGGATTCTTTCCAAGTCCGGAACATCCCTGTGCTCAGGGTGCTTGTGTTCGGGTCATTCAGGGGGTCAGGGGCTCTGGTGCCAGCAACAGCAGACCCCCCCACCCCCCCGGCTGGCGCCTGGTAGGGTTTATTTATTGGAGATACGCATTGGAGCCTGCAGGGCCTAGTGAGCAGGGCTCCGAGTCCGAGCTGGGTTCTGTTCCCGGCCCTGCTGCTGGCCCGCGGGGTGACCTTGGCCAGCCATTTCCCCTCCCGCCCTCTGTCTGTCTAGCTGTTCAGGGCAGGGATTGTCACCGTGTGTCTGTGCAGCCCCCAGCACGACGGGGCCCTGATCTCAGCTGGGGTCAGGGAATTTCTCACCGCAGTGCCTGGCACAACGGGGCCCTGATCTCAGCTGAGGTTTCTAAGCGTTAACACATGTAACTACTACTAATTATGACTGTAAGATTATTGGCTGAAGTTTCGCAGGGCCGTGGGGAGTTGGGTGCCCAGCTCAGGGGGTGGTGAAAAGGATGTGGATCTGGGTGCTTGATTCCCTGAGGCCCCTGTGCCCAGCCTGCCTGTGGCTCCCCCATTAGCCCCAAGGTGCCAGAAGGCAGGGACCAGGTGCTGTGATATGCGATGTGCAGATGAAGGGACTAGTGTTGCTGAGCTGACGTCAGGGTGCTGCGTGTTGGGGCTTGGAGCCGGGTATTGTGGGAGGGGCAAGTGCTGCCTTTAACTGGGCTTAGCTCAAAGGGCAGGGAGTTTTGGTGTCTGGCTGTATAATATCAGCGCGCGTCCCTTTAAGTCCTTCAGCAGGTGCCAGGTTTCGCTGGTAATGTTTTCCCATGGCGAGCACGGGAAGTGGGAGAGGCAGGGCTGAGGGCTGTGCCGTTGGTGCTGCCAGGCGGAGGGCTGGCTTCCCTCTTGCACCGCTGGCTCATGCAGCCTCGCTGTGCCGTGCCTGGCACTGTGGCTTTGCTGGTCCTCGGCTTCCCGCTCCAGCAACGTACCCAGCGCCAGGGTGAGTGTGCCTCGGCAGGACGCTGGGCATAGGTCTTCGCCCGGGGCAGAGTGCTGCCAGCTGTGCTCCGCCTCCTGTGTGGGGTCCTGGATCTCAGCCTGGTCTCGGAGGCTGCCCCTTGTTCTCAGGGTCTGGGCTGCCAGGGCCGGACCTGGGGGGAACGCACATCCTGGGGTCAACGTGAGCCCTGCCCTGGGCCCGGCTGTGATTGGAAAGCCGATGTGAGCAGCAGGGTGCTGTCGGGGAGGGCTGGGCACCAGAGGGGCCACAGGGAGCTGGGTGGCCAATTCCCCCCCCCCCCTTCTGCCCAGACTCCAGCCCTAGGACGGGCTCAGGCTGCCCAATCCCAGCAGGGCTCTCCTGCCCCTGCAGAGGGACTCAGCAGCAATGGGCCCACAGGGCTGTTCCCAGGGTGACTGGGGGTCTTGCAGCAGAGAGCTGGCAGAGCCTCCTTGCTACCTCGGGGTTCCCCTGGCACCAGGCAGGTGAAGGGACGTGCCCCAGGTTGGTGGCAGGGCTGGGAATTGAACTCGGGCATCCTGCATGCCAGTCCGCTACCCCAGTCTCCCTGCTTAATAAGCCCCCTGGGCTGGTGGGGTGTCTTCTGCCCTCTGCCCCACGGTGACAGCCTGAAGGAGACACGTGGGCGGACAGCTGTGTTCACTGAACATATGGAATGCGCCAGGCCTAGCTGCGTCTGCGCACTGCTGGGTTCTACAACACGGAGCCCAGTGAGCGCCGCTAGTGGGCTCCCAAAGTATTTAAATGGTTACTGCCCAATTCCTCTTCCCTCCCAGCAGTCTGGGAGCATAACGTAGTGAAATCTCATTCCATGGGCGAGTTAGTCCTAGAAAGGTGAGGTAGGGGTCAACTGATTCATAAAAATCTACAGAACCGTGGTTTCAATGGTGTCACCATCTGTGGCATGGCAGGGGAAGAACTTGCTTCCCCCCCCCCCCACACTCAGCTCCCAGCTCCTCTGGTTGGTGGAAATGTTGATGACCCAGTGTCATCGAAAATGGGTCAAGCTGGGGATCGTTTGAAAGGGGATCATGGGGATCTTTCTCCCATGAACATGTGGCACCAAACCTGACAAACCTAGGACAATGATGTAGATCTACAGTCGAGAGAATGGTTAATGATCAATGTTGTTTTTAATTATACTTGAACTCAGGGGTGCCTTGATAGTACATAAAAAATGCATTGATCTTTGGTCATTCTAGGGGAGTTAGCCTTGACATAGACTCGTAGTCCAGTCCCCTGCACTCAAAGCAGGACTAAGCGTAGACATGTAGGACTGCAAATGTTTATTCTCCAAAGTCCTCATCCGTGTGGTCTCCTTCCAGCACCCTGCTGCTAGACACATTGTCACACTGATCCTCGTCAGTGACACACTCGCACGGCTCCATACGGGGCAGGCTGTTGGCCAAACATCTGCCGGGCGGTGTGTCTCTGGTCTTTGCACCCGAGTATTTGGTTGGCTGAAGGATTGATTTAGCAGCACACATAAGTGGTGTGATCAATCCATCCTCCAAAACCGATCAGTGCCCGATAGGCACTGTGCTTGGCCATCCTGGAGTCATTCCACTGCTTGATCATTTGCCCTCTTGATAAATAAACACACCCCTATTGGTGGTGATTTTTCTCTCTTCTTGATAAACATCCATCAATAGCTCTGCACGCGCCGTAATGTTGGTCTTCAAATGATAAAGTTGGCATACAAACCCCTCCCGTGCACTTCTGATCTTATCAATGTTTCTCAGCCATTCTGAACACCTCCAGAGCGAGGAGAGAGTCTTCGGCGGCTGAATCAAATGCCTTCCAGGAAGATAATTTGGTCTTTCCAGGCAGCCTTCCAGTAGTGTCACATCCTGAAAGGGTGTGGAAACCTGGCAGTGGGCGGCATTAATGGTCCGAGTGATAGGAGCGTATCTCTGAGAGAGATCCAGCGATTCTGTTCCCTGGCAACAGGCACAAAATCAGCATCTTGCAGATGTTTTGAGTAGCATCTCTCTGAGAGCACTGGAACATCTGTGTCCTGTGCAAAAAATCGGGAGTTTAGTAGGACCTTTCTCCGTGGCATGGATGGCAGGCAAGGTATTTGAGCGTCCGCCGCCTCATGAGAACTACTGCCTCTGAGTAGTGCAAGGCAGCAGCTTTATTGCACCATGCAATGGCAAAATTCTTCCAGCAGTTCTTCGTACGCTGAAGTGTTTTCCCTGCAAGGTGTGCAGTTAACTCCTCCTTCGTGCCGGTACGACACAGTAGCTTCTGCATTGTGACGTTGGAAATGTTTGTGGAGTCAGTGACTTTTGTATTGGACAGGTGCAGTGCCATGGAGTTTCTTCTTTCTGGTAATATTTCTAATGGATTCCTCTGCGTATGTGTCAAACATGAGGTGGACTTTGTCATAGGTCCAGTATTTTCCTGGTAGCCTCCTAATGAAGTGTACCGCCGCCATGCCACCTCCGATTGCTGCGCTGAAAGTCCTCTGCTGGCACAAGGTACAAGATGTGTGTGTGTTTGATTTTTGCCTGGCACGTATGCTTTGTTCCGTCACATTCAAACATTGATCATGGTCCCATGGAGAACTCGTACTTTCCAAAGTCTCACGTAGATCAGCATCATGCTGAGGTCCAGACACGACCAGGAGACGAACAAACAGCAGCCTCTCTGCGGTTAGCTCTTTAATAGTTCCTGCCACCTTCACTCTGACTCTTTTCTTTGCATTCAAACACAGCTTTAGGCTTCTTGATTGGACCCGTAGAGTGACACAGCCTTGGATAATTCTTTGGGTTTTGAAAGCTTCATACAAGTTGTGACCCAAAGTATCCGCTCTGGCATCTGTAGCTACCTCGTTGCTGAAGACTGCTTTCGTTGTGATATTAATGCGCTTCAGTCCATCAGACTCGAATGAGTTGCCAGGGCATGTAAGTTCATCCTGTAGCTTTAAAATTGCCCCTTGTGGCATCTAATAATCTAGCTGGTGCTTGGTTACTTGTGGGGAAGCTATTCCAGCAGTTCTTAATGTTTTGTTCCAAATTCGATGGAGTTCTAGGGTTGTCAGGAAAAACCAGGAAAGATCATTTGGCTGCTGTGTTATGCCCACCAACCTCCTAGTGATTTCCATTGCTCTGTTTTCATATTCTAGGGCTTCGTCTGAACCAAGTGCCCGGAAGGGATCTGGTGACCTTTTGACAGCCCAATTTCCCTTGCTGGAATTCTGCCCCTGTCATAGTCAGCCTTTTCTATACCTCTTATCTCAGCCAGGAACCATGCAATCATCGCAGAATAGTTGTTTACACCTAAAGCAAAAAAGTGTTTCACAAAGTCTTCCAGTGCTTTGAGGTGCAAACTGCAATGAGCAGTCCTGACAGGTTGAATAAAGCGCAGCAAAGACTCAACCCTCTTTGCGTGTCGCCATGCAATCCCGAAAGTTGGCTTTGTCACTGATTTGGCCTCCTGGAATTGCTTGATCTGTTCTTTTTGCAGCTTTCCATTGTGTGCGGTAGGTCATTGAGAGCAGAACACACGCTGGATGTGGAGAACTGGTCTTGCAAGTCCTGTCCCCTTTGGGGAGTGACTTCAAACACATCAGATTGCTTTCCAGAGAAGACATCTAGGTAGCATTTTTGAAGGGCAGTGAGTGTTTGGGTGCATGCTTCTAGAGCACGTCACAGCTTTGTCCCTGCAAGAATTTGGTTCACAGTACTGTCACTATACCGAATCTCCCAGATCTCAGGACTACCAGTGCCATCAACAAAGGAGCCGATTGCACGTGTCGCTGTGATTGATATGTGCAATTCGCCAGGACATAGAATCCACTGTCAATGAAGATCATCGGGGGCATTATTAGCTGTTGGATAGGCCTGTAAAGGCCCATGTCTAGTGTCACACCACGTTTTGATTCAGTTCCGCAGATATATTTGTTCACGCGTTCCAGCCGCATAGGAAACATGTGCTTCTTATAGCATGTAAGGTGCCACTGAGTGTTGTGTTTAACCAGGATCCTCCATGGTGGTGATCTCCATGAGTTCAGCGACTAGTCAGTGTTCTTCGTCTCCCTGTTGGTAACTAAAAGTGATCAAGACCAAAGTAAAAACAAGGATTTTGTAATACATTACCTTGGGATTGTATTTAATTCGTGGTCTGGAACTGTGGGCATACCATTTGTGGATGGAGTCCAGTCATTTCTGTCTGGATGCTGACCTCTTAACCAGCGCCTCATTACAACTCTCTCAGCATAATAAACAAAGCTGGATAATCAATATCACTGCTTCGCCATCGTCGGCAAAAAAGAAGCCATTCAACTTGAAGCCTTGGGTGACCAGATGTCCCAATTTTACAGGGACAGTCCCGATTTTTGGGTCTTTTTCTTATATAGGCTCCTATTACCCCCCTGTCCCAATTTTTCACATTTGCTGTCTGGTCACCCTATTGAAGCCCCCCCGCTACTCTGTAATGTTAAAAAAAATTAACCGGGTCTCGTGTTCTATGCATTAATTGATCACGCAGGACTGTCGGTCAAGGGTCACCATTTACCTTCGCGAGGGCTGTGGGTTTGACGGGCCAGTGCTAAAGTATAATTTAAAAAAACCTTGATTTTTAAACCTTTTCTGGAATCCAGAGCTGCATCATTGTTCTAGGCTTATCAGGTTTGGTACCATTGGGCTCATGGGAGAAAGGGCTTTTGAATGATCCCCAACTCGACCCATTTCCGATGATGTGTCATCAAAATTTCCACCAACCAGAGGGCCTGGAGCTGCAGGAGGGAGCAGCGAGTCACCCCCTCCCCCTCCCCCCATGCCACAGAAGGTGACACCATTGAAATTATTTTCTGTAGGGTTGTTTTTTTTTTTTAAAGAAATCAGATAACGCCTCCCTTATCTTTCTACCATGAACGTGTCCGTCAAATTACGCATGCCCCTGACTAAGGGGCATTCCCCTGGGTGTGGTGGGAGGAAGCAGAGATCTGTGGCTGTATTGCCCAGCATCTGTCC